TTTTTAACTGAAATTTAGATGCTGCATGAAGTACAAAATTGTAGCAGAACTAGAACTCTCACTTATGTCTGGTGAGAGCAAAAACAGAAGGCCACTCTGGACAGCAATCTGATAGCAGCTAAATTATAAATTCTGCATGTATTCTACTAGGCAGCTATCCTATTTCTGGGTATACAAGTAGACAGCTTCTCATACAGTACCATAAGAAAATGTATAGGAGGAGTGTGTTTATCTCAATACATTTGAGATTGCAAAATGTCAACAGTTGGAGTTCATAAATAGTAGAATGGATAAATAAAATAATAGCTGCAGGGGCCTCCCTGATGGTGCAAGGGGTTGAAACACAGCACTGTGAAGCTATCCACAGCTATTGCAGCACAAGTTAGATCCCCAACCAGGGAGGTGACCCACATAGAGCAGCAGGCCTTACCTGTCTCGCCCTCAGCAATCTACTTCAGTGGATCTACATGTTCTGCTCTCCACTCAGTCTCTGATGAGTCCTCTCATGCCCTGCACCTCTGGCCTGTACCCCAGATTGTGTATGCATAAATAAATAGTTAAAAAAAATGTTGGAAAAACATCAGAGCCCTCATTATACAAAAGAGAGGCATGATGAAATTATCATAAAGCAAAAACAAAAAAAACCCTCAACAATTTTGTTTAGTGAAAAGAGTAAGAAACCATGTATCAGTGTATACAAAATGAATTATGCAGGTCTTAGAAACAAACACACACAAAGCAACATTATTTCAAGAATATACATACATAATAGACAAATAGAAGGGGTATTAGAAAGATATGCAATAAAAACATTAAATAACTGTGGAAGAGGAAAAGAAGTGAAATGAAATAAAATAGAGACCTTCCCCAGAGAAATGGCAATGATAACATAAGGGTACATTATTTCAGTCCTATGTGCCTCGTCTAATGGAGGAAGGGTGGAAGGACAAAGGAGAAAAAAGATAAGAAAACAGAAAAAAATCTTAAACTCTGATATTATAACCACATGTCAATGTATTTTTTAAATTTTCCCATAAATAATTTATATTTAATACTTAACAGAACACGTAACATTTACCCAGTCACTACATTAATCCTATTGACTTTCATTCATATAAGCAAATTGTATAGAAAGATAACTTTATCTGGCAATACCTCTAGTAGGCATCATCCAAATAATGTAAAAACTCTAATGCAGGGCCCTCCCTGGTGGTGCAGCGGGTTAAAGCACAGCACTAAGAAGCTTAAGCCAATTCCTCATGAGTTCAATTCCCGCCTGTCCCGGAGGAGATCCACATGGCGTGGCAGACCTTCCTGACCCGCCTGCTGCTCCCCTCAGCAGTGTACTTCCTAGATCTGCCTGTTCTGTTCCTAACTCTGTCTCTGGTGAAGCCTCTCGCCGTCCCTGAGCCTCTGGCATGTACCCCAGTTCTGTATACACAAATAAATAAATCTTTAAAAAAAAAAAAAAAAACTCTAATGCAAAAAGATTTATCTACACTTATGTACATGTTTGTCCACAATTGTCAAATCATGGAGCTAACTCAAGGGCCCTTTGACAAACCAATGGATAAAGAAATTGTGCTATCTATACTCAGATGGAATATTACACCACTGTAAAAAAGATAAATTAGTAACATTTGGGACAAAATGGACATATTGCAAGGTGGTTATGTTAAATACGACAAAAAGTAAAAGACAGATGTTGGATGGTTTCACTCACCTGTGCAACATAAATAACAAGAAAACATACACAGGCAAAATACACTAGAAATAAATCTTAAACTCAGTGAAAGAATATTGTTTACCAGTGAAGATGGGAGAGGAAGGAAGATGGGATACTGGCACTGATGGATTAGTAGAGGGTGAGTGAAACATGTATACATAGTTGGAGCAAAAATGTAACCCCCCAAAAAATTAAAATAAATATTTGAAAAATATTTTAAAAATATAAAGTGTCTCATTTTTTTTCAACACAAACTGATACCAATTTGTAGTTTTTAGTTCAACTATATTTGTCTAAAACGTATCGTTTTAGAGTCAGTTAATTTCTTTGAATTATTTACAAGGATATTCTCAATGTCAAGTGATATATCTCTGCCTTCCATGGGAATTCAGTTATTCTATAATTTTACTATTAACACTATTTCTAAATGTGCATACAATTTTCCACTTGACATTCTCATTCCTGTGTTTCATATTCAAAGTTTTGGAAATGGAAAAAAATACTATATGCAAAAAAAAATCAGAATCACATACAGATATTTTTGTTTGTTTATTAAAATAAATTTTTTTTATGTTTATACCAAATATGTTGTTAACCTTTTCCATTGCCATTACCCTTCCTACATATGATTTAGGTTACCTTTCTGATTGAACATTTAAAAATAATATAACATCCCAAATTACTCAAAACTTCTATAATATCCTGGTCTTCATTCCTCAACAATGCTACAATAAACATAAAAAGGCTCTAGTTTAGTTTTTTTATAGGATGAGAAAGTTCGAAGCGGTATGCATTAAAATAAATTGTGTCCCAAAGAAAACCTGATAGAACTTAAATACCGTTTGCTATTTTTCATTGCTGGTAAGAACATTAAAATTGATTTGACTATTTAGATTAGCAAAACAAACTAATCATTGTGTGTAATCAAGTACTTGCTTATATTAGTGAGTTTATCATCATGAAAACACTATCTCCAAAAATAGTGAAGAAAAGGTAGAGGGAAATTTGCATACTACTTCCCACAGTGAAAAAACATAACATGACCCAAAGTTCTCACACAAATCCAATACCATTACACATGGAAGAAATACAATGAAGAAAAGCCTGTTATGTGGAAGCACATGAGAACAAGATTAGAATTTAGCACAAAACAAAACAAACTAATTCTACAGGTAGCAGCAAAATACCAAGCTGTGTCTATAGTACAAAAGCAAAAAGGTTGCAATCTTAACCTTAAGACATTTAAACCTACAATTGGTGGTGAAAGAAAAAGGACTCTTTTAGGGAGGATGTTAAGCTATTATAAAATGCCAGCATTTTCATAATGAACTCTTTTGTATAAAAAACTGTTCATGTCAAAAACAAGAAGCTAGGAAAGATGCATGGTGAGAAAGAAAAGAGCAGCAGGATTTTGTAACATACACAGAAGGAAGAACAATATTACTAAAAATGACAACAAAAGTGACGGCAATGAAAATCCAAGGGATAAAGCTTGAGGATGATGCCAAATGATAAATTATGGGAAGTCAGAGAAGGAAAACCATGCCTTGTGGAGGGAATCAAAACTACCTTCAGGAAGAAGATGGCATTTGAAATAGGCTTGGTCTGATGATGATGGACTGTTATGTCCACGGTCCAAGAAGAGAAAGTGGGAAAGGGGGCATCTATATCCCCTGGAACCTCCTATGGGGCCTACAACATAGGTGGGGTCTACCATAAAACCAACTTTTCCTACCCTAACCCCCACCAAGGCACAGGGAACAGAGATTCTCAATACCAACCTCAGTCTCCCAGGATGTAGGAGACACTCATTAGTGACAGGTTTAGCCCAAGGGTTACTATCCGCCCATGAGTAAAAAGGTACAGAAAGCATCAGTGCTATTAATGGGAGTTTCTCCAGGAGGGGAGCTACAGTTTTCATCAGTCTTGTTTACTAATTGCATTCCTGCTAGTGAAGGCTATGAAGCTGGAGGTGATAGGTAAAGGAAAAAATGTTTGAAGAGATTATTTCTCAAACTTGGATAATCATCAGACTCATCTAAGTGGATGATTAAATGTACTGATTCCCATCTCCACCTACTTACTTTTGGCAATTCTGATTCAGAAAGGTTGATGTGAGATCTAGCAATCAATATTTTGCAACATCTTTCTAAGGACTCTTATGTGTAATTGAGCTTAGATTTAGTGGCAGAATATGAAATCCCCAGGAGATTCATCTTCCAGGAGATGAATACATATCTCTATCTATAGGTATATATATAGCTATGTGTGTATGTGTCTTTGCATACACACACACACATGTTACACACACACACAGATTTTATATAAGTATATAGATGCACATATATACAAAATAATGTATCATATACTTATCTATATACACATATAATATTTCTCAGCATGAAACAGATAGAAAAAAAGATAAAGAAATCTTTGTGTTTTCTGAGCAAGTCCCTTAACCCCAGGTTTTTCCCTCCAAAAATATCAATGGATTTGGAGTAGAAAGTAATACAGATCCCCCTGTAGTTTTTTAGTAACATGACTTCAGTGCTTAGTTATGTGGGAAATTCACAGAAAAATTAATTCAAGGAAAAATTTATTCCATCTGGCCTTCCCAAAATATTGTAGAAAAGTTTTCACTTCTAAATTATTTCTTTATATAGATTTTCCTTTTCTTTTTTATAATTTATTTTTGTAATATTCCCTTTAAGTTCACAGATGTAGTACACTTTTTAAAGAATTGTTGTAAGTAATATAAATGCCAGATTCTGATTTACATAATGCAGACAAAATAGCTATGGTACAATATACTAACATTATAAAGTATAGATGATTTATTTATACAGGACATGAAGACTTCATTTTGATGTTCTCCATGAGCTAAGTCCTACATGGTTACTGCTGGTTCATTCTACTTTGATCAAAGCATTTTTAGCAACTCAAGAAGTTGATGTCATCAGCGACTTCCTGAGATGAGATGTTCCTCTGGTCATTTGTGCTTGGGCTAGTTCCTTTCTCATAGTGGCTGAATGAAGTTATTTTTTCAATGAATGAATAAATTCACAGATATGCAAAAATACTCATTTTTGCAGAAATTCTCACCAATGACTATGAAACTAGGTATTTCCACTGCCAATTCAGTCTCCTTGATAAACTAATAAACTTTTACCTTTATAGTTTTTGTATGAGAACCTAAGTTTTAGATCCAAGTTTTAACAACATTTAGCATTTTGTTAAACTTCAGAAAAGATTCTTGAGCTATTCTATTACCTACCTGCAAGTGCTGCTTTTCTGCATGACGTCAGCTCGATGATATCCAGAGAGTTTGCAAAAACCATCATTACTATAAACTACAGGCCAATCCACAATCTGGGCATTTCCCAGTAAGAAACTCGATTCTAAAGAAGAAATAAGAAAAGGGAAGATTTTTAGTTTTAAGCAATGTACATTTTTCAAACAACAAAAAAAGACAAATTGTTAAGGGGCACAAATGCAACTATGGTTTGTTATAGTATGAATAATAAAACCTACTCTGTAAATTGATACCATCTGATTGGCCTGATCCTAAGATGAGATCGGCAATAAGTAATTTTTGTATACAAACCAAAAACTTTGAAAAGAAGCCAGTTTATTATATCTCTTTCATCCAAGGATATGCTGAGCTATGGGGGGAAAGTATGGTTAATTATATAAGTGTTGATGACTAAAATATTACACATAAAGACAGGCTGATTCAGTAAGATCAGCTATAGTCACTTGATAATTTGAGAATACTGAACTTGATAATAAGCAAATTTGAGTGACCCATCCCAAAACTCTATAATTACTATATTTTTTTACTACAATTTTTATATGGTGGCACACATTCTTCATCCACTAGACTGAGTTTGAAAAAAAATGATTTATAATAACACTGAAGAATATTTTTTAAATAAAAGTATTCAAATAAAAGTATTATTATTTCCAACCATAAACCACAAAGAATTTGAAATTATCATTATTCTAATTTTTTAAAAAAAATACTTGGCCTATTTTGCATGAAGTAGTTTTGCTGTTAGTATAGTTGATTTTTAATCATATATTTTGATATAACTTTGAAATTCCAATATTTTAGATATTAGAAATTTTATGAATCTCATGAAAGACATTAAGTGAACTCAAATTATATTGTTAAAAATATAAAGAAATTTTTGTTTGGAGGTTCCTCAAACTGCTAAACATGGAGCTTCCCTACGACCCAGCAATCCCACTCCTAGGTATCTATCCAAAAGACACAAAAACACTGATTGAAAAAGATACTTGTACCCCCATGTTTATTGCTGCTTTATTTACAATTGGAAAAACATGGAAGCAGCCCAAATGCCAAAAAGTAGATGACTGGATTAGAAAGATGTGGTACATATATGCAATGGAATATTACTCAGCAACCAAAAAAGAGAAACACATGTCTTTTGCAGCAACTTGGATGGAGCTGGAAAAGATCATGCTTAGTGAGATAAGCCAGAAAGAAAGAAAAATACCGGATGGTTTCACTCATAGCAGAAGTACAATGGACCAGGCGAGAAAATAACAAAAATAATGAACAACCATATACCAGAGACATTCTGTGGGGGCAGAGTGGGGAATGGGATCAAAAACGGGGGGGGGAGAAGAGGGAGGGAGGGAAATGCACGGGACTATGGTGGTGGCACAGGGGTGATTTGGTGATGGGAAACCCACGGGGATTACAATCGAGATGGAAAAAAAAATGTGCAAAATGATGTAAAAATAAACTTTGTAATAAAAAAAAATTTGAAAAAAAAGAAAAGAAAATACACAGAAAAAGCACATAAAGATAAAATATGCAAACTAATAAGAATTATGTAAAATAATTCTTATTAATCGAACATCATGTAATGAGGAAAAAAGTGAAGAAATTATTAGCTATACATGTTAGGACCACGATGACTTTTGATTAAAAAAGGAAATGGTATTTTAAAAAATATATATATAAAGAAATTTTTATTTTAAAATTAAATATTTTAAAAGTTTTTAAATCATTCTAAAATCTAAATCTGCTTGGAACTCATATGCAGGGTAGTACACTGAAAAGAGATACTAACATATAATCAAGAATGACAGTTGGTCTTCATAAAGTTAACAATTGAATTCAATATTTATTAAGTAGATGCTACAGAAAGGCACTGCTCTGAATTAGACCGTTGAATATAATAAAGATAAATGAATCATACCATTTACTCTCAAAAACTTTCATGTAAAGAAAAACAAATTTGTATCAATGATTAAAACTTAGCAGAATAAATGCTAGATCAAGAAACACAGGAAAATAATAGGAGGAAACCTGTTTTGAGATACTAAAAAACAACCCAAAGTAGAAAAATTGGTAAAGAGCAATCCTTGAAAAAAGAGGCATTAGGTGAGATATTCATTTAACAGTCCATTCTGCTGAGAAGCACCTCCAGTTCACATAGTTGATACAGTGAAAAAGGTCAAACAGAAAAGTTTCATTGGCTTAAAAAAGCCAAAGGTTTCAATCTGGGACTGCCAGAGTGGCTTGCAGGTGAGGAGAAGATCTTTTAACATACAGTGCCATACAAGTGTGTAAAATTCTTCTCTGGGTCTTAAGCTATGTACAAACAAAATGGTAGTATAAGGAACCTGGAGCAGGCAGTCGGGGAGGAAGCAAAGCTAAAGAAGTAGACAGGAATATCACTGCACCCCAAACTGGAAAATAAATCTCAGAGTTCAAGTCCTGTCAAATTAGAGAAGCTTGGCCAATGCTTCAAGTTTTCTATTTAAGCCACAAAAGGTCATACATTAGGACTAAAAACAAGTCACAGGATGAAAGATTGTGACCTAAGACTTAAATAAAATAATGTGAAAATACTCAATTTTAAGAAATGCTAAAATCAAGTCTCTTCATGACCATAGTGTCCCACCAGTAATTTAACTACCTAGTAAAATTAAATGCAGCCCTCCTCTAGGAAATAAACTAATCTAAAAATCACTACAATATGGCAACACAAAATCCAGTATAAAATTAAAAATTATTAGGCAGGCAAAAAAGGGAAAAAAAATATGACAATGATCAGGGGAAAACACAGGTATTAGACCCAGAGATTTATAAATGGAATAGCAAATATACAGAACAAATACTGACAAATAAAATCTAGCAATATATAAAAAAGAAAATAGACCATGACCAAATAGGGTTTACTTCAACAATGTAAGGCTGACTTGAGAGAAACGGAATAGCCTCCCTGGTGGCATCGAGTTTGGGTCTCAGGATTGCTACTGCTACAGCCTGAATTCAATTCCTGCCAGGGAGCTGACCCATGTATGGTGCAGCAGACCTCTCCTGTCTCTCTCACTACTCCCCTCAACAGTATATTTCAGTAAATCTGCCTGTTCTGCTCCCCACTCTGTCTGGATGAATCCTTTCACCCCCTGCACCTTTGGCCTACACTCCAGTTCTTATATGAAAAACAAAAAATAGAAAGAGATAAATGTAACTCATCACATCAGCAGAACAGAAGAGAAAAGGCATATGATCATATCTCAATAGATCAAAAACAGAAGGCATTTAACATATTTCATATGCATTCATGGTTAAAATATCTGCATAAACTAGGAACAGAAGGGAACTTTCTCAAGCTGACAGATGACATCTACTAAAAACCTAGAGCTACAACAGTCTTAAAGATACAATACTGAATACTTTTCCCCTATGACCAGGAAAAAGTCAAGGATGTATATCAAGTCATTGGGAAGTGAACTGAATAGGCATTTCACAAAAGAAGGCATGCAATAGTGACAATCACAAACAATAAGATGTTCACCATCAGGCACCAGGAAAATATAAACAAAAGGCACAATGATAGAGTAATTATAAAAACTAATATAAATTTTTGATGAGAACCTACAACAACTGAAATGTTTTAAGATGCTCATAAGTATACAATGGTATGACCCACTTTGTAAAAGTCTCTTGTGAAGTTAATCAACTATGACCCAGAAATTTCACTTGTAGGCATTTTTCACAAGTGAAATTAAAATATATATTAACAAAAAGACTTTTAGGAAAATGTCCACAAGGATTAACTGAAGTAGCCAAAATTAAAAATAAACAACTGTCTATCAACAAGAGAAAGGATAAAAGTTGTGACATATATGAGTATACTGGCTCTAAAATGGAATAAATGATTGTTACATTCAACAACAGAGATGGATTTGAAAAACACTATAATGACTGAAAAAGGCCAGAAATTAAAATGCATATTTTGTATGATTTTATTCATATGAAGCGCAAATACAGACAAAGCTAATCTACAATGACAGAGATCAGAAAAATGATTTCTAAACAGAATGGCTAGAGGACTGGCAGGAAAGAATCAAAAGGAATTTCCTAAAGGAAGTGATTATTTTTCTATCTTGATAGAAGTATAAGTTTCCTAGGTTTATACATTTGTTAAAATCCAGTAAACTTTCACTTAAAATCTGTGTATGTTATTACAAAAATTACACCTCAAAATTAAAAAAAAAATCCAGAGGAAAGAAAAAAGACCAGAGAATCTGATTTTTAGGAAAACAGTGTTGTTCACTCTGAATGTCAATAGTAGCTTTCCTTGGTAGACAGACTGATTAAAGATCAAAATGAACTAATTCCTGCAAAAGTGTTTCATAAAGTATAAATTCCTCCAGAAATATGATAATTTCATTTAATTACAGCATCGTTTACAAAGATCTACAGTGTGGTCATCAAAATTACTTTCTTTCCCTTCTTAGCACAGATCAGGTCCTGCCTACATGCTCTCCTTGTCTCAACTCATCCTGATTTTTAGTCTGATTTTCACTTGCCCCCTGAAACCCTTCCCCCATCCTACCACTCTTCATACATACACTCTTCATACAGATCAAGATAACCAGCTGCATATATTTTTCAGTGCACTTAAACTCCACATTTTTCCAATTAGATCAGTATGTTTGCTAAGTCTCCAAAACATGCTTACTCATGATGTCCACTATATACTTCAAACACCTTTCCTCCACCCCTTTACCTATAAAAACAAAATCTTTAAGAATCTTCTCAACACTACCCTCTCAATGTCATATCCATTGAGTTCCACTCAGCTTATATTTCCCTCTGGACACACCCAGATCTGTGTCCAACCCCTTGAGAGGACAAACTTTCCATTGAAATTGTCTATTTTCATTGGCTCCATATCCTCAACTCCTATTCATCTGACTCACTCTTATCTGACTTATGCCTTACCACTCCACCAAGACAACCAAGGTACCAATCACCTTTCCATGTAGACAAATTGTCAAGATTCTTTATGCTTTTCACTTATTTCACTTTATAATTCAGAAGCACTGGTATCTACTCTTTCCTTTCAAA